CCAGGGGTTTTGGGGGATAAATACATTAAAGATTATGATATTCTTGCACATTATGGTAATGGAAGCTGCCTCAGTACCTTAAATTGATGTGTATTAATGTATATCCAATTTATTTTTATAATCTAATTGTCTAGTTGTACAAAATTATTATGGAACTCCAACATGTCCAGTATCCCAGCAAAGCCTGGAATGGAATATGCCCAATGCTACATTTGTTTTCTTTCTTCCTTCCTTTGAACTTTCCTTTTACTTCCTGTGCCTATCTGTTACTCCAGCATAGTACAAAAGGTATAAGCATGGAGCCAGATTCACAACCACAAAAATTAACTGGCTCCAATGCACTTACTGTCATTTTCCACTTGTGAAGAACATGGATTTTCAGCAACTGATTATCAGAACTGCTAAGTAAGGACAACTCTCACTGAGGTCAGTAAGTCTTGCAGTTACTCAACACTTCTGGAAATCACACCATACAAAAATATGTCAAACAGACCTTGTAAAAACCAAACCACACTACATCCCGTTATCCCTCACATTGACACTCCCATGCAAGAAAACACCTAAAAAAGAGGCAAGGCTTGCAATACAGCCAGAAGGCAACCAAACACAGGACCCTAGTGGACTAAAGGTAGGAGCAAATTTCAAAGGCAAGGAGTACTCATTGAAGACACCCACTAGGCACCCCTTTCCCCCACAGTCAGAATAAATCTGTTCATTTGGTCACAACCATTGTCTTAAACTTCACCCACACATTACGGTAAGTAATAGTGGGGGTCAGAGTGCATTAGTTAGTTTGTGCTCTGGTGAGTGAAATTCCGCATAGTCAGCAAGCCACAGTGTTCTGTAACAGCTGTGATTTCTAGACATTGAGAAGGCATAACCCCATGGAGACCACAATCCAGAGAAACAGCATTTTAAAGAGAGAACCTGATTCTTCACCAGTTTGCACTTTCTGCATTTTCTTTTATTAACAAGAGAGTGTGAAATGGGAGGAAAATGTAGCTGAAGTGGAAGGGCAACATTTAACATCTTTTTTTTTTTTTTTTTTTTTTTTTTTTTTTACACGTGTAAATACTATACAGGGCAGCAGGGAATCAGATCCATAGTTACAGAGATTAAGATAACTTCAAATTCAAGTCTCAGTTACAGCAGATCACTAGAATTAGATCACACCAATGGCCCACTAAGTCCAGTGTCCTGTCACCAACTGTAGTCAGTAACATGCTTCATAGTAACATATAAGAAAATCTGCAAATTATGCTCATAACTCTCAAAAGTTAGTGCCCGATTTATGCCTTGAAGCATCAGAGTTACATACCTGCAAAACTGCCCTTTATTGTTGCAATAATTAGCATTTATATGCTTAATAAGAAGGCTTACAGATATTAAATCTAATCCTTTTTTTGAATCTGTTCAGTTCTTAGTCACAACTACAGCCTGTGGCAAGGAGTTCTACAGGCTAATTGGGCCTTGAAATTCTAGAGGAAGGGTTGGCAACCCCCTGCACACATGCCAGAGCATGGCACATGAAGCCATTTTGCTCGGCAT